GCTCTTTACAGCTTAATTCAGCAAACATGCTCGTTTTGCTTATTTGTGCTAGTTTCAGCTTCTTTTAGCTTCTTTTTATTTTCAAATTTGATCTTTTTTTTTTTGCTTTTTCAGCTAGCATTTCAGTTATTCTTTTAATTTCAGCATTTTTATGCATCTTTTAGCTGTTGTTATCTAATTTAGTCTTGTGCTTTTTCAGCTGCTTATGCTATTTTCAGCTGTTTTTACCTTTTTAGCCACTTTTAGTTGTTTTCAGCTATAAGCTTTATTTCAGCCTAATTCACATTTTGCTGATAATTTCAGGTCTTTACAGCTTAATTCAGCAAACTTGCTTATTTGTGCTAGTTTCAGCTTCTTTTAGCTTCTTTTTATTTTCAAATTTGATCTTTTTTTTTTTGCTTTTTCAGCTATATTTTAGTTATTCTTCTAATTTCAGCATTTTTATGCATCTTTTAGCTGATGTTATCTAATTTAGTCTTGTGCTTTTTCAGCTGCTTATGCTATTTTCAGCTGTTTTTACCTTTTTAGCCACTTTTAGTTGTTTTCAGCTATAAGCTTTATTTCAGCCTAATTCACATTTTGCTGATAATTTCAGGTCTTTACAGCTTAATTCAGCAAACTTGCTTATTTGTGCTAGTTTCAGCTTCTTTTAGCTTCTTTTTTTAAAATTTGATCTTTTTTTTTTTTGCTTTTTCAGCTAGCTTTTCAGTTATTCTTTTAATTTCAACATTTTTATGCATCTTTTAGCTGATGTTATCTTATTTAGTCTTTTGTGCTTTTTCAGCTGCTTATGCTATTTTCAGCTGTTTTTACCCTTTTAGCCACTTTTAGTTGTTTTCAGCTATAAGCTTTATTTCAGCCTGATTCACATTTTGCTGATAATTTCAGCTCTTTACAGCTTAATTCAGCAAACATGCTCATTTTGCTTATTTGTGCTAGTTTCAGCTATTTTTAGCTACTTTTTTGCAAATTTGATCCTTTTTTTATTTTTTTTTTTGCTTTTTCAGCTATCTTTCAGTTATTCTAATTTCAACAGTTTTGTGCGTCTTTTAGCTGATGTTATCTAATTTAGTTTTTTGTGCTTTTAGCCACCATTTAGCTTTTTTCAGCAACTTTTGKGTGCATATTCTTTTGTTTTTCTGCTAATTTGTTTTTCTCGTTTCATCATCTGCTTATTTCGACTTGTTTCTGCTAATTTTAGCTACTTTTACTTGTGTTTCAGGCAGCGTTAAGCATTCACACTGGATTTTCTCTGTTTTCTATTGGAATAAAACCAGATTAATTACAGCAATAATTAGGATTAAAAGACGGAGCAGAA